GTTTTTTTTTTTTTTTTTTTTTTTTTTTTAAACAGAATCTCACTGTGTAGCCCAGGCTAGCCTGCACCAATCCTCCTGCCTCAGCCTCCCCAGTGCTGGGATTACAAGTGTGCACCACCACGCCCATCCATGATTATTCTTTTTAAAAGAGTCAAGATTCCTATCCAACCCCAGCACTGAAAAGAAAGAAAAAAAAAACTCTTCCTACTGCCACAGAGTAAAAGAGAGGGCCAAACCCAAATCCAAATATCCTTCACTATCTTTGGTATTCAAAGAGCACATCATTCCATTTACGGGAGGAAGTTATGTTCCATCATCTAAAGCTCAGGGACTACTTAGGAGTCTTAGAAATGCCAAGCAAAGCTGGACATGGTGGCACAAGCCTGTTAATCCTAGCACTTGGGAGGCTGCAGCAGGAGGATCACCAGGAGTTTGAGGCCAGTCTGACATGAGGCCTAGTGAGTTTGAGGCCAGTCTGAATCACAAAGAAAGCCCTTCCCAGTCTCAAAAAAAAAAAAGACAAGGCCAAACCAAACAGGACAGATCAAAGACTACTGAGGGAAACAAGTGGTTCCTTTCCACTAGGTAAATCCTCAAACACATAACTATCCTCTAATCACTCAAAAATTATGATACCTTCCATACTTCAGATACTGGGAGATTTAGCAACTAAGAAAAATCAGAACCTACCCTCAAGGAACTCAGACCAAGTGGGGAGACTACCAAGGGATCAAGAGACCAACTCCCAGGGTGACAGGCTATCAGAGAAGTGGCACACCGGTGAACGCTGACCTAACCTTCAGGGTGTCCCTGAGGACAAGTTCCTGAAAGTCACATCCAAACCCAGGCTGCAGATCAGGGGCCTGTGTAGGTAGGAGTACTGAGCAAGTAGAAGGCCATGCCCTTCCAGGCAGAGAAAGTAATGGGCAGAGAAGATTGTTAAACCTTTCAGGGACCCGGAGGTACTTCAATACATTTCTAATAATTCAAAACATGGCATGAGACCAGATTAAAAATGGTTAGTACTGCCGGGCGTGGTGGTGCATGCCTGTAATCCCAGCACTTGGGAGGCTGAGGCAGGAGGATCACTATGAGTTCAAGATCAGCCTGGGCTACATAATGAGTTCCAGGTCAGTCTCACCTACATAGTGAGACCCTGTCTCAAAAAAACAAAAAACAAACAAAACGATAACAACAAAAAATGGTTAGTAGAAGGCCAGGATTTAGCGCAGGGGCACTGCATCTGCCTCGCCAAGCGCAAGGTCCTCAGCTCAATTCCCGGTACCAAAAAAAAGGATCAGTAGACATGTCCAACCAGTCAGCACCACACAGCAAGGTTGCTGGGATGAGACCACCAGATCTGCTGGGTGAGCATTACTTTTTCTAAGGCAGAATAAGGCTGAGATTTTATACCGCTATGTCAGTTACACCACGGTAAAAAACAGATGTCACTCCTGCCACAAACACTATATTAAAAATGTGCTCAACATGGGGCCGGGGATTTAGCTCAGGGGTTCCACCGCCTGCCTTGCAAGCGCAAGGACCCGAGTTCGGTCCCCAGTACCAAAAACAAAAAAAATGCTCAATAGGGGCTGGGGATTTGGCTCAGTGGTTCAGCTGCCTACCTTGCAAGCCTAAGTCCTGAGTGTGATCTCCGGTACCAAAAGAAAAGAAAAAGAAAAAGAAATGTGCTCAATAAAATAAAAGGCCATAGGAAACAGGAAGGTAAACTTTTTGCAGATAGAAAGCAGATCTGGAATGGAGGAAAAAGGCAAGAGGGGAGAGGAGGGAGCAATAAAATTCCTCATGATAAATGTACTCATCATGTATCACAAACATACTAACAAAAAAAACATTTAAACAAATATATAAAAATTTGCTCAAGTGGGCCGGGGATTTAGCTCAGTGGCCGTGCCTGCCTCCCAAGCACAAGGTCATGTTTGATCTCTGATATCAAGGGAAAAAAAAAATTGCTCAAGACCTCATATTGCCCAAAACAACACTTACAGACTATTCACATTCCTAAAGCCCACTGTAGCTAGCACTGTGCTCACTTCAGCAGCACATATACTCAGTTGCTGGGAGTAGTGGCACATGCCTGTAAACCCAGCTCTTGGGAGGCTGAGGCAGGAGGACTGCCCCAAGTTTGAGGTCAGCCTGAATTACAGAGCAAGACCCTCAAAAAAAAGAACCAAAAAAAAGGCCAGGGATTTAGCTCAGTATTTCCTCTGTCTCTTTTGCAAACACAAGGACCCAAGTTCAATCCCTGGTACCAAAAAAAAAAAGCCAACAGTTAATTCTCAACACACCTGATGGTCAATCAGCAGTTCCTCTGGGTAGAGTTCCTCACAAAACTCACAAGGCAACATGGTCTCGTCAGCTGTACCTAGGTAGTAGGTCATATGGTCAGACTCAAGAGGAGCAAAGACAACTTGATTTCAACCTTTTATTCCCCTTTGAGAGTTGTATAGAACAGTTTGACTTTGGAGCCAGGTGGTAGCATACATCTATAATCCCAGCACATAGGAGACTGACGTAGGAGGATCACAAGTTTGAGCTCACTCTGGGCAATTTAACTTAGCAAGACCTTTTCTCAAAATAAAAAATAAATTAAAAAAATAAAAAGAACCAGGCATAGTGGCACATGTCTATAGCCCTAGCATTTGGGAGGCTGAGACAGGAGGACTGCCCTAAGTTTGAGGCTAGACTGAACTACATAGTAAGACCCTCTCACAAAGAAAAAAAAAAAAAAA